TCATGTTATACAGAACGTGAATAAAAGATGTATAAAAAAATCACCATATTATTTTTATTTTCATTTCGTCTTGATAAGATGTTAAAATATGCCTTGTAAGATTTGTGCGGCGATCTACTTCTGGGAACCATTATCCCCTCCAACTTGAAGTTGTTTACAGGAGAAAGTAACATCATTTAAATAAAGTCCATATTGAATTATCCTAAAATGGTGTCTAATATTTTTCAATTAAGATAATTCTGGTAGTGAAATAAAAAATTCTGCCAGAAATTTCTGCACAATTCTGCCAGAAATTTCTGCGGTAAAAAAACATCTGCCAGAAATTTCTGCGGAAAAAATTAATTCTGCCAGTAATTTCTGCAGAAATGCATTTTCAGAGCCCATTTGTGAGCTTATGAACACGTGCGCGCACTGGCACATGGACTTTTTGGGTTCATCTCCTCGAGATCTTTCCAATGATATAAAATATGTCTTTGTAGCTCGCTTCCTTCTATGTGTCAAGTTAGGACTCGCTGGCCATTCCCAAGTTGTCCCACCCGGCCTTAGATACCTGTTATCACCATTGCAAGACACCTGTTATCACCGTACATGACACCTGTTATCACCATTACAAGACACCTGTTATCACCATTACAAGATAGCTGTTATCACAATTACAAGACAACTGTTATCACCGTTACAAGACACCAGTTATCACCATTACAAGACACCTGTTATCACCATTACAAGACAACTGTTATCACCGTTACAATACAACTGTTATCACCCTTACAAGATAACTGTTATCACCATTACAAGATACCTGTTATCACAGTACCATTACAAGACAACTGTTATCACCGTTACAATACAACTGTTATCACCCTTACAAGATACCTGTTATCACCATTACAAGATACCTGTTATCACCATTACAAGACAACTGTTATCACCGTTACAAGACAACTGATATCACCATTACAAGACAACTGTTATCACCGTTACAAGACAACTGTTATCATCATTACAAGACAACTGTTATCACCATTACAAGACACCTGTTATCACCATTACAAGACAACTGCTATCACCGTTACAAGACAACTGTTATCACCATTACAAGACACCTGTTATCACCATTACAAGACAACTGTTATCACCGTTACAAGACAACTGTTATCACCGTTACAAGACAACTGTTATCACCGTTACAAGACACCTGTTATCACCATTACAAGACACCTGTTATCACCATTACAAGACAACTGTTATCACCATTACAAGACAACTGTTATCACCGTTACAAGACACCTGTTATCACCATTACAAGACAACTGTTATCACCGTTACAAGACAACTGTTATCACCATTACAAGATACCTGTTATCACCATTACAAGACAACTGTTATCACCGTTACAAGACAACTGTTATCACCGTTACAAGACAACTGTTATCACCGTTACAAGACAACTGTTATCACCATTACAAGACACCTGTTATCACCATTACAAGACACCTGTTATCTCCGTTACAACTGTTATCAACATTACAAGACAACTGTTATCACCATTACAAGTTAACTGTTATCGCCATTACAAGACAACTGTTATCACCATTACAAGACACCTGTTATCACCATTACAAGACACCTGTTATCACCATTACAAGACACCTGTTATCTCCGTTACAACTGTTATCAACATTACAAGACAACTGTTATCACCATTACAAGACAACTGTTATCACCATTACAAGACACCTGTTATCACCATTACAAGACAACTGTTATCACCGTTACAAGACAACTGTTATCACCGTTACAAGACAACTGTTATCACCATTACAAGACACCTGTTATCACCATTACAAGACACCTGTTATCTCCGTTACAACTGTTATCAGCATTACAAGACAACTGTTATCACCATTACAAGTTAACTGTTATCACCATTACAAGACAACTGTTATCACCATTACAAGACACCTGTTATCACCATTACAAGACACCTGTTATCACCATTACAAGACAACTGTTATCACCATTACAAGACAACTGTTATCACCATTACAAGACACCTGTTATCACCATTACAAGACACCTGTTATCTCCGTTACAACTGTTATCACCATTACAAGACAACTGTTATCACCGTTACAAAACAACTGTTATCACCATTACAAGACAACTCTTATCACCGTTACAAGACACCTGTTATCACCATTACAAGACACATGTTATCACCATTACAAGACAACTGTTATCACCATTAGACGACACCCGTTACCACCATTACAAGATACCTGTTATCACCATTACAAGACACCTGTTATCACCATTACAAGGATTACAAGACAACTGTTATCACCATTACAAGACACCTGTTATCACCATTACAAGACAACTGTTATCACCGTTACAACTGTTATCAACATTACAAGACAACTGTTATCACCATTACAAGACAACTGTTATCACCATTACAAGACAACTGATATCACCATTACAAGACACCTGTTATCGCCATTACAAGACAACTGTTATCACCATTACAAGACGACTGTTATCACCATTACAAGACACCTGTTATCACCGTTACAAGATATCACCGTTACAAGACACCTGATATCACCATTACAAGACGACACTGTTATCACCATTACAAGACACCATTACAAAACTGTTATCACCATTACAAGACAACTGTTATTACCATTACAAGACACCTGATATCACCGTTACAAGACACCTGTTATCTCCGTTACAAGACACCTGTTATCACCATTACAAGACACATGTTATCATATCCGATGAACTAATGAGGTTCAAACCGGTTACAAGTCGTCACAAGGACACCTGATGTGATCGTCTCACCACGGCCACCTTAGACTTACATCTAGTCTCATAAATACAAGACATGTTGTTACAGAAATCAGATGGTTTCTCCGATATTATGTTACTAAAATAAAATAAACCGTGGAGGCCAGTGGTCGTGGCTTTCCTCATTTTCAGACATCTAGACTTACCAGATCTTCTTGATTTGCATCGGTTGCATTTGGTATGTTTGTTTCAGGATCTGTATGACGTCTAGGGCCACCTCCACAGCTAGAACAATACGAGGGTTGCGAAGGAGTTCAGCCCAGACAGTGAGGAACTACGCACCGCACGTTTTCGCCCGAGACGACCAGTTCGAGGGGTCATTCTGACTGATCAGCTTCTTCGGATGTGACATCAGTGGTGTCAAAGACACTGAGTATGGCCAAACACAGCGATGGAGACAGGTTTGGTTCTCGAAGGTGACGTGTGTTAAGCTTCACAGACGGAAGACGTCGTGTTAAAGAGCCGTCACAGGGGACGTTATATTCTGGAAACTGCATATAGGAAGTGAACAGATTTGGTTGCGAGAGTGTATTGATCGGTGCCACCATCTCCCAGAACTATAGAATAGTCTCAGTACACGTAAAGGGCCATATTGTATAACGGCACAACGTTACACTGATAAAATTCTTCAGCCATGCGTCATTTTTCAACACGACAACGCCCAACCTCATATGGAAAGTCGGAAAACTGCCTTCTTGAGGAACTACAACATCCAAATACTGCGTCATGACCCTCAAGGGCTCCAGATCTGAACCCCATTGAACATTTATCGTATGTGTTCTTGATCAACATCTGCGATCATGTCAGCAACAGGCACAGCGCCTCCGACCGTTGGTACAAGCACTGAAGGAAGACCGGATCAACATTTCCCAGGCCACAATTCGTACTCTGATTGGTTCAATAAGGCGACGATGCTAGACAGTTCAGTGATACTAGTATTGAGAACAGATGACCTTTCACTCAAAGCGATCGTAGCGCTACGACAGAACAGATCGTCAACTCCCATGGGGCTTTACCATAGACTTAACGACTGTCAGTAGCGCTACGATATCCAGTCTTGAGAAGACTGCTCAAGAGTGCCCTGAACTCCGTATGCAATGCAGCTCTCATGGGGCCATACAAGATACTATTATTGAGAACAGATGACCTTCACCCTCACATTCAGATTCGATTGTTTCATGTGGACCTTCTGGAACCTCGGTAAGAGACCATGACTTGTGCCAGATTTCTACAATTTGTTATGATCTGTTGATTATTCTTATAATACATAAAGTATACATCTGAAGACTACTTGATATCTTACCAGCGGTAAACCTGTAAGCTACTAGATAATTCCATGGAGTTTCCTGGGTTGTGAGCATTGGTTCTTTTATAAGTGAGGTTTCAATTTTAGACATTGACACAGACATTATCATTATCGTGGTTGCATCAACACCATGTTGCAGAGTGTTTCTAAACACTTGGTGCACCTGTGGAGAGTAGCGTTACACGCGAGTGGTATAGTAATACACAGGCACGAGATACACGCGAGCGATATAATGACACGTGACACTAACGTTGTGACACGGTATATTCTGTAATGCCAAAACGTTAACTGCGGAGAATAATCAGTGTCTGGGGCGCAAAAGTCATAGAAATAAAAAGCTATACGAAATGATAAATAAAAATCAGTGATGACACCAGGTGTTAGCGAACATGGTTGCTCTGGCGGTAGGACCCGTGGGTCAAACTAGTTTCACACAAGAACTCAATGTTTATTTGTTGTCTTACGCCGCCCTCAGCAGTACTCCTGTCACACGACGGCTGCCTGTAAACAATCAAAGCCGGACGAGACAATTCAGTGCTTGATATGAAGAACACACCTGCCCAAACGACCCTGCAAGGTAAGTGCCTGTGAGCAAGGAAGTGTGATAGGTCATTGCATAGCATAAAATCATCAATCGTACTTACAACGGTTAGTTCATAGTCAGTGACGTCCTCTGGATGTCTACAGAAATATAATAATGGTTATAAATGGCTTTGAGGGTTAAACCTTGTTTGAAAAGTTTACATGTAAGCAAAATATGTCATTACATTAACGGCAAATACAATAGTACAGCATTAAGTAATCGTGACATTTAAAGAATACTAAAGATCTAAAATGTGAATACAAGTCAAAGTCTTTATTGAACATATGTGATTCAACATTTATGAAGATAATGTCCTATTAGGATTACATACACACGTTTACAGTACACAGGTATACAGTCAGTTAGATATATATAGTTAGATTGGGATTAAAACACACAGCCAATTTCACTCTACTTACATGCAATTAAAATTCACATGGGCTTTGTTTCAACCATATCGTGACGAGAAGATGCTTGGTGGGTATGTAGAAGTAACATAACAATGTATGGCATGGATTTACAACTTCTTTATAATTTACAACACGACGTTTCTGGGCTACTCCTTGCCCTTTCGTCATCAGGCGAATGACAGAATATGATTACGAGCAAAATATCTAGTACGTACAGGAGGCCGGTGAGATGGAATTAAAGATTAGGATGTACAGAGATCAAGGAGATTAAGTGATATGTTTTGATTGAGATAACGGTATGTTTATGCAAAGAAATTCTGACATGAAACCAGTCTTATCAGAACACGTGGTCAGAAATCCCAGCCATACCATCAATTTGGGTGACACTGACATTTTTTCAACAGCAGTGATTGGCGGAAAAGAAAATTGATGGAGACCATCTGGATCCACCGCGCAAAACCTGAAATTAACAGGGATTAGGGTGTTTTCCTGCCGAATGCATGGCGCATAGACACATAACCTTCCAGTTCACTGTACATGTTTGCCATGCTACTCCTAATCACTGTACATGCTTCGATGTGTGTCTTCCTATCACTGTTTTCATGAGTGACTTCCAGTCAATGTATGTCCTTCTCGTTGTATAGACACTCTGATATCCCGATACCAATCTGTTGCATGACACATTGATTGTCACGAATCATGTTACGGTTGACTACTCCACAATCACTCAATTTCGTACCTTATATTCGCCCTGAGTATGTTAGCCCGTGCCCGTTCAGTGACAAACTAGTGTACTCATCACTTCCGGTTTTCCTCCAACATCAAGCTGACACATCGTCGTATTTATGATCACTCACTCACTCCGTCGTTGGCTTGCAACAATTACCCCGTTCGCATCACTTGAGTTGTCCTCACTGCGGTATTTAACTCCCACCAAAGTAATACTAGTGCATAATAACTATTATTCAATAAAGATGAAGGCACCATTGTATTGTGTTCAATATAAATGTGCATATTGACGTCGCAGTTATGACGTCACAGTGGCAGAGCCCATGAACGTTGTAACGCACAGTACCTTCAAATTACGCTCGACAGGGCTTATTAAGCAGAGAAGAAAACCATCCTGCAATGATGCGAACTAAAGTGGTAACACCAACTGTCAGAAGGATATAGCATATTTGTGACAAATCACAGACCAGTTACCACTATGTTCTTACACAGTGCACTATAGAACCACCTAAACCGGCTTTGTTTGAATTCTTTTCTACATAATGTTGTCAGATTACAGCGCATGTTTGACTAGGCCGACTGGGAGCCCCACTGTAGCAGTTTGAACACCTCCCTCTGTCCACAGTACCTCGCCAAGCTGTCTGGTCAGTTTACAGCGCATGTTTCACTAGGCTTACCGGGAGCCCCGCTGTAGCAGTTTGAACACCTCCCTCTGTCCACAGTACCTCGCCACGCTGTCTGGTCAGTTTACAGCGCATGTTTCACTAAGCTTACCAGGAGCCCCGCTGTAGCAGTTTGAACACCTCCCTCTGTCCACAGTACCTCGCCACGCTGTCTGGTCAGTTTACAGCGCATGTTTCACTAGGCTTACCGGGAGCCCCGCTGTAGCAGTTTGAACACCTCCCTCTGTCCACAGTACCTCGCCACGCTGTCTGGGGACAGTTTGGAATCATTTTCCTGTAAAGCATCCACTGTGGTCTTAGAGAGGAGATATTTGACAAACCAGGCTTTACCACTGAGACAAGCAAGGTGAAGGACAGTGTTTCCATTACTATCCACGGCAGTCAGATCACATCTGTTGTCGATGAGTAAATCCACGACCTGTTTGCATCCCTTCCCAGCAGCCATCATAACGGGCGTCCTTCCATACTGGCCCCTGCTCTCGGTGTTTCCGTATCCGCGAGAGATCAGATGTTCCACTATATCTGGTCTGCCGCCCCGACATGCGAGATGCAGGATGTTGTCCCCGTAAGCGTCTTCACCCGTAAGATGACACCCCTGCTTCGCAAGCAGGAAGTACACTTGGACATGGCCCTTCCAGGCCGCAAGCATCACTTGGGTCCTTCCATGGCGTCCTTTCCTGTTTAGGTCTACATCTTGCAGCAGAAGGTATTGGACAATTGCTTCATTGCCCCCCAGGCACGCCAGATGGAGGGTGCTGTCACGATTATCATCCAGTTCTGAAAGACTGCATCCTTTACTTATAAGTAGCTCGAACACTTTTAAATGACCTTTGATTGCTGCCATCATTATAGGTGTTCTACCATTTCTTCCTCTTGACGCAAGGTCACACACATCCGCGGCTAGATTCAGAAGAAGATTACAGACCTCCACGCTTCCTCCTAGACATGCAAGATGAAAGATGTTATTATTGTCATCATCTTTAAGGGACAGGTCAGCTCCTGTTTGTACGAGATGTGTCAACAACTCCATGTGACCACCAATCGCTGACCACATGACAGCCGTTCTGCCTGTCTCCCCTCTGCAGTCCACACCAAGACTACACTGCGACAAGAGGTGTCTCACTATTGCAACATTACCGCCTATACATGCCACATGAAGAATAGTGTTGCCTCTTTCATCCAAAATGTCGGGATCACTTCCTTCCTTGACCAGCAGATTGAAGGCTTCTAGCCAGCCATGTTCAGCAGCCATCATTATGGGTGTCTTTCCTGATTCACCTCTCGAATTTATGTCAAACAGGTTTTGCAACAAAAGCCACTGAACAATCTGAACATTTCCTCCGATGCATGCCGCGTGTAAGAAGTTGTTGCCATGGTAATCCTTTGTCGACAAAAGACACGGCTGTGTCAGACAGAGGTTGAACACTCGCTTGTGGCCACTCATAGCCGCCATCATTATCGGTGTCCTCCCCAGATGACCACGTTGGTTGACGTCAGTATTCCCACTTAGAAAGGCTCTCACGATCCCCTCATTACCTGCACAACAAGCAACGTGGAGGAGGGTGTTGCCGTTATCATCTTGTTCTGAAATGTCTCCCCCATTATCCAGCAGGAAGACCAGCACCTTCATGTGTCCGTGCTCTGCAGCCTGCATAGTTGGCGTGCGTCCTCGAGCATCGCGGTGATACAGAAACTGTCTGTTGTGCTGCAGCAAATCGGAAACAATGTCAATGTTACCACCTATGCAAGCACAGCAGAAACACGAACGACCCTTGGTATCTATTGCATCGAAGTCGAATCCTCGCTTCCTCAAGACAAGATGTATGTCCCTATGGCCAGCACTGGCAGCAACCATTGCTGGAGTCCTGCCGTAAAGATTCCTAGAGTCTAAGTCAAAGGAACCTGAGCTGATGAAAAGTTCAACAATATCTACACACCCACCAATGCAGGCGAGGTGTAGCAAATTGTTGCCATCATCATCTTTACAAAGAAGGTCACATTTGTCTCTTAATACCATGAAGGCTTCCAGATGTCCTCCTTCAACTGCATGCATTACTGCACTCTTGTTAGTCTTATCCTTGGAATTTATATCAATGTCACGTTGCTTGAGAAGGTTCTCAATAAGGAGTGTTCTCCCTGTCTTGCACGCTAGATGAAGAATATTGCAACCATCCTTGTCCGTCACATCCAGAGAGCACCCTTGCTAACAAAGAGGTCGTATACGGCGTGGTGGCCGGCCATTGCTGCTGCCATGACTGGTGTTCTTCCGAAGGAGTTTGAACAATTCAGGTTGACTGTATTTTTGTTAACAGAAATTGCAGAAGTTGATAGTGTCCATTGCTTGCTAACTTGTGCAATATCCTGTGAGCATGATTTTCATCAGAAACATTGCTGACGGCTGAACAATCATTCTCTTCATCCACTGAGAATATGGTGTTCCTAATGTTTGTAAATCTTTGTTCAGTTGGCACTGAAAACATGTCTATGTCAACATCTATCTCACAACCGGCGCTCATCAGGACATCAAATATATCACCATGCCCTTTACACGTTGCAATCATAAGCGGTGTTTTCCCATATTGCCCTCTCCGGTTGAGATCCACGTCACCTGAGGTTACAATACATTGAACAATGTCTATATTCCCAGACAAACAAGCCAAATGTAGGGCCTGGTTTCCGTCATCATCAACCCATGTTTGGTCACAACCCTCCATGCCTGAAAGAATCCGGAAGATCACTTCGTGTCCATTCACGGCTGCGATCATTATCGGTGTTCTTGAGTGACTGTCTTTGAAATTAATGTTAATACCTTTGACAGCAATTAGACTTCTTAAGATATCAGAGTTACCAAGTCTACATGCCTCGTGGAGAGAGTTGTTGCCCATGTGATCTTGCACCATAGGGTTTGCACCTTCCTTTAATATTACCTTGACCATATCGTTATCAGCTGACCTTACAGAGGATAAGAGCAGGGTTTGACCATCGCTGTCTTGACTATTAATGTCACTTTGGCCAAACGTTTTGAACTTATCATTTAACACAGTCAAGAGATATGAGAAGACATGTGCTTTCTTTAAACAAATACACGTGGACAGAGCACGACGTACAACGTCTGATGACATCTCAGGACGTTGCAGAAGCAGTTGTGTCATGTAAAGATTCCGCGCGTGGCCAGTCCAGTAGAGGAGGTTTCCTTTCTCACTCACATCGACCGTGTTGAGAATTTCTTCTACGTTTGTCCCAATGCTAGCAATGAGAAAATCAACATTTTCTTTTGATAAGAGAAATGGACTTTTTGATACCTTTTCAAACTGTCGTTTCTGTAATCTGTCAACTAAATCTTTAATAAAATGGTGTCGGTTCTGCTTTGACATCAGAATATCAGTACTTGACTCAGATATAGGCCAGTCATCTGTGGACAAATATCGTATGCTGAAACGGTTCCACAAGACGTCAGGGTAGCGCTTAGCTACAGCAAATACACAAGCATCATATACAACCCTGCTCTGGAAGGTGATGCACCTCTCGTCTGTGGCGAGGAATGAACCTGACAGATACTGCAGTTCATCAAAGATAGTTTCTTCAGATTCAACAGGGCATACTGTCTTCACGGCTTCAAGGTCTTCACGAATCGATGTGTTTCTTCTAAGTGTTCCTCCATTAATGAGAAGTAATATCAAGGCTGCTGCTGCTGAAGGCGACTGGTGTAGAAGACAGCAGACCTGGCGTCTAAGGTATCTGTGGGGATATGAAAAGTAATCAACTGGGTCCATTACTGTCTGTTTTGGAAAATCGTTGCAGACAGCGGCAAATCCAGGAGTGTAGGGTTCGATATTTGAAATTTTTATCAGCTCCGAGGACGTAACATTGATACCCATACATTGCAAGAGGTGGTAACGTTCAACACAAGTATTTCTGTGGTCGCTTGAGTTTATAGATGTGATGTCAATGGTTGAGCAGTTTCCCAGCAAGTAAGTCTGAAACAACTTCTGTGCTTTCTTAAAGTGGTACAATTGACACACCATCACTAGAATAACGTCATTTTCTTCAATATGCTTCTCAAAACTTTTCAGAAAGCTCTGATGTTCAACTGTATTTTCACTTTTGAACATATCATCAATTACCAACAGAAATGGCACTTTTACTTCAGATATAATAGTCAAATCAGCTTCCTCAAAGTCCTTGAAGAAAACAGTTTGGTATCCTCGTTGTTGGTACAGTCTGCAGAGCATGTGTGCTACTGTTGTCTTGCCCTCTCCTGGTCCACCTGTCACAACAGCATGGCGCTGTTGGCGGAGGACATCGATGGTCATCTCGAAGGCCCTGGTTACGACTGGGCTGATACACGAAGATGCTGTGTATAAAAGAATATATAATATAATTATGGAGAACTAGAAATATTATATAACTGGCAAGCGTGAAGTTTACTAAGTGGAAGAAACACAAGCCTTTGGAAATTGGCTTCTTAGTAAATATCAAGTTATGTGTAATCTCCTTCTGATCTCAAATGTATGGTGGCTGATTCGGGCCATCGCCCTGAAAAAACTAGGCGATATCGCGACGAAGCGATAGGGCGACACGATATAGCAATATGCATACAAACAAGTTACAACAATGTAAATGTTTCTAAATGTTTTACAGGATCAGTTACAAGCCTGGCCAGTTGGTCTAAGTCGAATACTTTGTAGGATCAATTATGATTTGTTTCGAATCCCAGACTTGGAATAGTCGTGTACGTTAACGTCTCGGGGCATCACAACTGTGTTTCTGGGATTTGACAAAATGAAAAAAGACCATTGATGATGCTTGCCACGTTAGGCTTTGGCAGTTTGGGGCTTTTTGTTGTTGTTGTTGCTGATGATGATGATGTTGCTTTTGCTTGTTTGATTAATGCTGGGCGGACAAACCTGTGATTGATATTATAAGCAACGACCAACGTACGACAACACTCAAATAACCAGGTCACCCGATCTATACCTGGTTTCTTGCCACATTCTTTAATCTTACCCGGACTGACTACAGATTACACTTTGAAAACAAGCTGACACACTGTTAAATGAATAATACACTGTTCAAATCAGCGTCAAACCAAATTCACTCACTCACTTTGGCATACAAACATCATTGACAATTACAAACGCACCATTCTCCGCCGGAGCCACTGTTGGACTGCTCCCCAGGATTATATCTGGGTTGTCTTTGATCAGTTTCAGGAAGTGCGTCAGTGCAGTGATGCAGTCTGACTGACAGTTGTCCATGGAGTGTGGAATGGCTGTCCTTGAGGTGGCTGCCACCAGTTCCTCCATCTTCTCACTGAATGCGCTGCTTGACCGCCACGTGTCCGGGGTCACCACGCCGTGGACTAGCTGGAAGGACGCCAAACTTCTCCTCACTGCTGACGTCATCGCCCTCGCGAAGGCAGGAAGTGTAGCTGTAGATTTGACTCAGTCTGTTGTCCGTGGCAACAAATGTCAGCAAAGTTACTGGTTTCTCTGGTGTGAAGATACAGATGTCACATATGACGCATGGCGGGACTCGGGTCTTGTGCAGCATCTTCAAATCTTTCATCAAACCAGAACTGACGAACACAAAACTCCCTTTACCTCGTGCTAGGCTTTTAATGTTGTTGAATATCAATGGTTCCAGGTACTGCTCAGATCCAACTGGATAAACATGTAGTCGGTCTGAAACACAGAGGCGTTGTTTCATGGATACAGGATCCGGTTTCTCTGAATACTGAATGAAGATTATGTACATACTGGCAAATCAACTGACATTTCAAGTAGTAAGTTACATTCACAACAATGCAGTTTTGATAACATCCTTTCACGCAACGCCCCCATTATTGAAACCGACTTTAGTCCTGCGTGGGACACAAACAGGCACGTCGTTATGCAAGAGCAGTCATCTTGAACTAGATGTGTAATCCCCTTTCACTTCACATATTTGCATCTCGACCATAAAATAAACTGACACTGATTTGATGACAGCCAACAAATGTGGACTTTTATCTATGTTGCCACCTCATACCTTCAGGTTCGTCACTGTTGTGGAGCTGGTTGATGAAACGACTGATGCCCATCCCAGTCCAGAAGTGTGCAGGCTCCTCGGCATCTCTCGAATCTGAACCAAATCAACAATGCATCATTATCAGGAACACTGATTATGTCCATACCAATTAAACAATGGTCGATTAACCATTCACTTTAGAACTAGTTTACACCAACGAAAGCAGACGTCTTATTGCTTCTAGGTAATAGGTAAACAAAATGCACAGAAAGTGTTGTAGACATAACAACAAGGTTTGTTCATTCTTGTACACGACGTTTTACTTCCTTTTTATCATTATTATATACGGCGCAGTGTTCATTGCTTCTTGCATTCCTCCATATTGCCGGTTGTCGGTTCAAGCTAAAACATGATGGAAACTACTAACTTCACAGTACTAAATACCACTGAGAAATATTCCTCCAGTTCCATCAGCTCACCTGGCGTGTCCTTCTCACTGTCCTCAGAACAGGTGGAGTCATAATGCTTGGTGAAGCAGCAGGAGACCTCTCCGTCAGACTGATACGGACTCCCCGAGCTCTCAGTCGTGGTCGACATCTTTGGGCTTGGTAGGTTTGTAGATTTGTAGCTCAGTAGCTTTTTTGATTTCAGTTATGGTCCACTACCTGCATCATTCGTACATTAGACGTCCGGTCCACTACCTGCATCATTCGTACATTAGACGTCCGAGATTCTTGTTCGTGATGAAAATGAAATACAGTTTGTACACAGTAATTGTTTACTGAAGCAACTATTTTGTAATGTTATAGCATATGTACGAATTATATGTGTATGTCTGTATTTAGGATATGTGTATATTGCTGCATTTATTATATTGTACACCTGATTGTTTCAGGGTTGTTGCTTTCACTACCCACATCTCTAATAAACCATCGGCCATTGAAGAACAAAAAGTAGCGTCTGTTGTCTGTGTTTGACTGACGCAGTCCTGCTACATACTTAAAACACTTGGAGAAAAGCGTGATAATAGTGTTTGTTAATTGAGGTAATATATAGCTACCAGTCACAGTGAGAATTGCTTATATGATCCATGGCGGCAGGCGACAGGTGATCCTGTGCAGCCACTCTACTCGCGTCATCCTGACGATGTTCCCGTGGTCTATGAGGTAGGTTCGGGGCCCCTCCTTGTCATAGAACACAATACCGTCAACGTGCCTCACTGCAATCTCAAGCACATACTTCTGGGGGTGACTCTCACGAACTTCATGAAAAGCAATCTCAATCAGATCAGAAGGAGCATCTTCAAATCGTCCATTCAACTGTAAAACTGTGACATGTTCTGCTATTTTCTTTTGTAGGAGTTCTGTAATGTCCTCATGTGGAAAACTGACACGAAAGCCAAGTATTTTAGGGTTTTTTGTTTTGTACAAACCACTCTGCTTCTTCTCCTCTGTAATACCAACGTAGAATGAACCCCGTGGTCCACCTTCGTCAGGGATGTCAGGTTTTCTCTCAGTTTCAGGTCGAACCAGACATGATCAACAAACAGTACAACATCATTTTCAGCGTCTGGGTTTATAAAGGTTTTCAGCTCTACTGCCCTGTTCTCGTGCAGTTTCTGTATATTCTCTGAAAGTGGAATACCTCGGATTTGGGGCTTGCGGGTTTTCGTGTAAAATGTTCGCGAGAGAATCGATAAGACGTTTAAAATTGATGGATTCTTTTTTTCAAAATCGTTACAAGTCTTGGTGCAGAAATCCACTGTAGCAACGCCCGCTGTCTTGCGCACGTTTATGAGAACGAAATCACTGAAATCCTCCAATCCTGGCAGACTGGACAGCCACTCACGCACATATGTGTCTACAAAAAGTCGGCCATCCTCAGTAAGTTCAGAGAGCGGGTTGCCAATGAACTCATCAAAGTATTCAAGATATCGGTCAGTCTGGAGCTGACCGTGAAGGTGGACAATGACAACTCCTCCTCGGGTGTTCCTCAAGGCTGCTGCTCTCTTCTCCAGCTTGTCCTGTAACACCTTCTTCTGTTTCCGCTTCTCCTTGTCCGACCTGGGCGCAGTGATGACGTCTCGCTCACCGTGCAACACGAAGCAGTTGGGGTCGCCGCCCCTCTCCTTGTATTTCTTCTCAGCAGAGGAACAGGCTCGGCATGTACCTGCCACAGAAATATACACATGAAATGTCAAAGCCAGAGATTAACCAGCCTCGGTTATCAGACGAAACCGATTCTTTGAGACTGTAACTTAGTGGTGAAATGATATGAATGGGTGACTGGAAGTCAGTAATCCAGTCAATCGGAAGGGAGACAACTGACCCAGCCGTGTCAACAAACTGAATGGTTCGTATATTTATAGTTCAATGAATGCATGGTTTTGAACAGGGAAGTAATTATGTCAGAAGATGCTTATATCTTTACACTCACGCATATATGCTATCAATAATTGTATACAACCTGTGTTCATCTCCGACCTCCCCTCCGCTCAGTGCCCTGAGTGCTGGGTCTGCCTAGCTGGGTACCTGTGTGGAGGGTATGTGAAGAATTTGTAAAACAATGTACTTATGTGGAGGTAACTACAATGGTTGCCAGTGTGTTTGTCCATGTATACTGTCTGAACATTGTAACAATAGTTAATGATATAATTTATAGAACCTTTCATAGATCATGTGTACTGATGTAAAGAAACCCACAAATAATTAAAATCCTAACAGTAAAGTAACTTGAAACACTTTCTGCTTGGGTCTGACAGTACGGAGACGACGTGTAACGGTTGTGCTACGTGTTGGTATATTGCTGAGCGTATTGGTATGTGACATGGTTTCTGTGGAGAGATGTGTCATATAGTCTAACTGTTGTGCAGAGTGTTGGTTTGTGACACTGTTGTGCAGAGTTGGTTTGTGACACTGTTGTGCAGAGTGTTGGTTTGTGACACTGTTGTGCAGAGTGTTGGTTTGTGACACTATTGTGCAGTGTTGGTTTGTGACACCGTTGTGCAGAGTGTTGGTTTGTGACACCGTTGTGCAGAGTGTTGGTTTGTGACACTGATGTGCAGAGTGTTGGTTTGTGACACTGTTGTGCAGAGTGTTGGTTTGTGACACTGTTGTGCAGCGTGTTGGTTTGTGACACTGTTGTGCAGAGCGTTGGTTTGTGACACTGTTGCGTAGCGTGTTGATTTGTGTTATTGTTGTATATCAATGTTCTGACTGAGTATGAATGTTCGTGTTTGTGTGTGCGTGCGTGCGTGTGCGTGCGCTTGTGGGGTTGGGGATTACGTAATTACTTGAAGTAAGCATGACCTACATTCTTACGTTAGGGAATCCCGAGTTCCTACGCTGCGACTGTTAATGCCAGTGTAGATGATCTCTATTCCTAGGCACACTGAACACACTGCGACTATTGTATCCCCAGTGTGTTGTATGTTTACATTCACACAAGTGTAACAGAGCAGATCAATATTTGAAGTAACGCTGATCGATGACTCACAACGATTACTAAACAACAGCTGTAAACAACGTTAAGGTAGAAATCAACTGCGACAGTGCAGACAGACTCTTAGTCAGACAGACAGGCACAAAAGAGCCAGATAGACAAGACAGAGAGGAGAGAGAGAGAGAGAGCCAGAGAGAGAGAGAGAGAGAGTTACACAAAGTATAAACTTACCCAATGGTTTTCAGTGTAGTATTACTACCTGGTTGTAACTTGTGACAGCTTATTGACCGGCCTTCACCTTCGTGAGTGGTATAACCTATCCCATTGCAAGGAGTCACTTCCTTCACAAGTAGGTCCATACTTCAATATTCATGATATTGTTCCGTCCGCGAGCTCAAGAATGGCCTGACACAGACATGAGACATGGCATTACAGTGGTCGGAATCTTGTCCACTAAAACAGTTAATTACAAAACTCTAACATCTCTTGGTCGAGTGGTCATGTGATGATGCTCTCTCCTAACTGGTATTGCGCAGTATCTTCCACATGGAAGGATATACAAACTAGTAATAGATTTGAATGAGGACATTACGTGGAAGTTCATACATTGAGAGGTAGACTAAGGCTTAGTCTCTGAATATATATAATTTTGATAGTAACAAACAAGCCTATTTAAATTGAAAAGGAGCCCTAGGGAGACCAGAGATTCAGAACCTGGGGAAATCTAGACTTGCTTCGTTTAGGGCTTTAGCACTACAGGGAAGGCTAGGCTGTAGGGAAAATAATGTGGTTCAGGGACTGTGAGACAGACTAATTGAGAGGCAATGAACGCGACTGGACCTACGCCATGACTGACTCTACAGAATATGCCTCTACACGCGCGTCATGTGGACCTACGCCATGACTGACTACAGAACATGCCTCTACACGCGCGTCATGTGTCTCACTGGCTGGCGTGTGGTGGTCCGAGTTCGATCCCCGACATGAGTACACCTGGAACCGCCATGTAGCTGCAACACGCCTCTACTCGGGCGTCATGTGTCTCACTGGCTGGCGTGTGGTGGTCCGAGTTCGATCCCCGACATGGGTACACCTGGAACCGCCATGTAGCTGCAACACGCCTCTACTCGGGCGTCATGTGTCTCACTGGATGGCTGGTGGTGGTCCGAGTTCGATCCCCGACATGGGTACACCTGGATCCGCCATGTAGCTGCAACACGCCTCTACTCGGGCGTCATGTGTCTCACTGGATGGCTGGTGGTAGCAACACGCCTCTACTCGGGCGTCATGTGTCTCACTGGCTGGCGTGTGGTGGTCCGAGTTCGATCCCCGACATGGGTACACCTGGAACCGCCATGTAGCAACACGCCTCTACTCGGGCGTCATGTGTCTCACTGGTTGGCGTGTGGTGGTCCGAGTTCGATCCCCGACATGGGTACACCTGAAACCGCCATGTAGCTGCAACACTGCTGACAGTGGATGAAATTACTTCTCACTCACTCACTCTGGCCCTTTTGTGGCGTATTACAGCTTGTTCAGCTTGATCTGAGCTACTCTACAAATGCATGACCCGGGCGGTCAAATGGCACTAACGGCAGGTCGGGTTATCTTCATTAAATAGGGGAGCAGAGAATGTTATTACAAAAACAATGTTGCGTTCGTGCGAAGCATGCATACATGGATTTGTTACAGAACGTGTTCCGGAAAACAACACTTCCGAAAAAAACAATCATTTCATGTTTTAATTTAATTGTTTATACAGTCATATGCTATCTAGTTTGGTTGGCTAACTTTACAACTAACAAACGTAAGTTACTTTCACAACCCGATTCACTCTCGATATCACTCTCTTCACACAGTTCAATTATCACTTTATCTATTTCATGTTCAACTTCAATATTTCTGTCCCAGTAGCCGCTTTCCAGATTTTCAACACAGCAATCAGTCCACTCGTTTACACCAATCAACTGACAAATGTGCACCCCTTCACAATAATAGACCCAGCCAGTTGTGACACGGTCACGCAATTCATCAGTATTCACTTGATCAGGTCAAGCTGAACAAGCTGTAGGACACACATACGAGTCAACATTTGACAGTGACCGACTTCACCTAAACTCCAGGTAATCATGATATTATGGAAGTGGTACAGAATTAGCCCTTTCTTTACATCATCACAGTTGTGCAGTGATGTCACAGTTGTGTTGTGATGTCACAGCTGTGTAATGATGTCACAGTTGTGTTGTGATGTCACAGCTGTGTAGTGATGTCAGAGATGTGTAGTGATGTAACAGTTGTGTAGTGATGTCACAGCACAGGTGACTGGTGATGTCATACTTGAAAAGTGATGTCACAGCTGTTAAGTGATGTCACAGCTGTGTAATGATGTCACAGCTGTGTAATGATGTCACACTTATGTAGTGATGTCACAGTTGTGCAGTGAGGTCAAATCTTACTGATGTCACAGTTGTGTAGTGATGTAATGGTTGTGTTGTGATGTCACAGCTGTGTATTAATGTCAGAGTTGTATAGTGATGTCGTAACTGTAGAGATGTCAAAGGTCACATCTTACTGGTGATGTGTAGGGATGTCACAGCTTATGTGTGATGTCACATTGTATAATGATGTATGTGATGTCACAGTTGTGTAGAGATGTGATGTCAGTGTGTAGTGATGTCACAGTTGTGTCACAGTTGTGTAGAGATAACACAGTTGTGTAGTGATGTCACAGTCAAATTGTGTAAGTGATGTCTTACTGATGTCACAGATGTTTAGTGATGTCACAGATGTGTAGGGATGTCACAGTTATGTAGTGATGTCACAGTTGTGTAGTGAGGTCACATCTTACTGGTGATGTCACAGTTGTGTAGAGATAACAGTTGTGTAGTGATGTCACAGTTGTGTAGAGATAACAGTTGCGTAGTGATGTCACAGTAGTGATGTCACAGTTGTGTAGAGAGAACAGTTGCGTAGTGATGTCACAGTTGCGTAGTGATGTCACAGTTGTGTAGTGATGTCACAGTTGTGAAGATCTTTCCAAAAGTGACCTATTCAAGCTGTTGCTAACGGGTATTTCAGGTTAGAATGAGTTATAAAGTCAGAACTGAGGGTGGTCCTCTTTCACATTTTCGGCACTCACTGCGTGAAATATGCCATCAGGCTGGCCACTTCCTCCCTTACCAATGACTCTTCTTTTAAATCTTTTCTGTATATATTCGTTGACGAAACATAAAATAAATAACACCAGTAAACGATAAATGTTTTTATTGAAAGACTGTATGATGTTTACACCTTACAGTATCAGATGGTGACAATATAAACTTTGAATCAACCTGGAGTCTACTGTGGAGTGATACTGCGGATTTGAGGGCCAACATGGAGTCTACTGTGGAGTGATACTGCGGACTCTGGGGCCAAGTAAGCAATGTTGAGGGAATGTCAAACACAGTGTGGAATGAGAAAAATGAAGTCTTCTGCCACTTTCAAGTTCATCATTCAAGGTCAGGCACAGCTGAAAGTGATGTTACCTCAGACACATAACCTCATTGCCCTGTGTCTGCTGACAAAAAAAGGTTTCAAAATTCCTTGAGAAGCAGTTTACATATTACTGGGCCACACAGACAAGAACTCTGTCACCTGAGTCTGTGTTATACCTCCTAGGTAATGTTTACATGAAGTAACATTAAACTTCACAAAAGCACACGTAATAGACACACACATTAAACAGGCAACAGGACTTGTGGAATGATCACTTCTGGATCTGATCTTCAAGAGGAATGCCCTCCTTGACCTTGACCCACTCACTCACACAGCTGCACTTGGAGTTCACACGGCCCCCGAAACAAGTTACCTTCACGTGGAAGATGGCTGCTGAGAGAGATGGAGCAGAGATGTGACATCACTCTACCAGAACAATATACTGATGTGTCTGGACATGAATATATCCTCGATGAAGGTCATCTACCACTGAAGGTGGTGTGGGGTCAGTATATGGCCACAGTCTGGACACTGAGTCTCACTGACGACACACGAAAGTTTGAAGGCTTTTCGGACCATGGTCTGTCACAGCTGGATCAAATGCCTGGTAGGTGTGGAAGGTGTTTACATTTCATGCCACATGTTCGATGGGTGCCATATCTAACAATACAGCAGGTCAAGGGAGTATGAAGATGTTCTGTTGTCCAATGAATGTCAATGATGTCAGAAGGAGCAGGAGGATGGATGGATGGACATGAGGGTGGACATGAGGGTGGACAAGTCATCACATTCTCGCACACCCGTAGAATTGACATCGATGATGACAGGTGTCCTGTGATGTGCTGCCTCCCAACACAAGAACATTCCTATGCGTCCGCTTTACATTCCATTTGAAGTTGATAATGTAACCATCAAATTGTTGTCATATGTTTAACCTTTTCCCACCAATATTGCATTGTGGCATTCAGAACTGACCAGGTCACATGTTCACATAGATTTCCTCCCCTCCCAGACAGGACAATATGACCATATTCACAAGGATTACCTCCCATCCCAGACAGGACAATATGACCATATTCACAAGGATTACCTCCCCTCCCAGACAGGACAATATGACCATATTCACAAGGATTACCTCCCCTCCCAGACAGGACAATATGACCATATTCACAAAGATTACCTTCCCTTCTAGACAGATGTGGTTCACAAGGAGATATGACATGGTTTAAGGCTTTCAATCTTTCTGAGTTTGTATGAACTCAAGTAATCATTACTGTCCCGACAACTACAATCCTGAAATAATAACAACTTCAAACTTTCTTTCAGCAATCACGAAAATGAAGAAATATAATAAAATCTGTAGACCTTTGAGAGTTGTAACATGGAAACACAATGTATATTCAGGAGTATTACAGCACTGCTCTCTTTTCTCCACTTACTGGTAAACTCAGCTCAGTGTAGTAAATCAATCATAGGTATATTGCACATACATTGCCTCTACTTCACTCCGGGGCAGAGTTCAAGCAGAAATCATCTCTGCATAATTCATATAATTACTCTGACAAAATGTGGCATACTCTCTAAATCATACTGGAACACTATAGCACCAGACAAACATAACCCTGTTGGCCAACTACCGACAATATGGCTACATAATGACATGTTCTCAATACAATCAACAGATGCCGTCGGGACATGCCTTCATACACAGCGTTGTGCACCTTGTCAAGGTGGCATATATCTTAGTTCACAAACATGGAACAAATCCTAAAAGACAAAACGGGTCATTCACAAATACCAAATCTACTTCAATATATTCTTATCAAATGTTTAATTCAAGTAAATATTTCCAGTAAATCTGAAGATATGAAAAAGGTTCCAGGTACATAAAGAGTTCTATCATGATGCCCCCCTCCCCCGCTGTCTGAAACTTGGCCTTCAAAACAAAATGTTTGTCCTTCAGTTGTTTGACAATCAGCTTCTGGAACTTGTCACGAAGCCGACCGAATTCCATGATGTCCCTGGGCTTCTCCTTGAACCAGAACTGGATGAAGTCGAAGAACAGGCAACCTGCGAAGGATGGAGTCCATGTAATTCCTCTCAACAAATCAGAGTAGAACATCCAGATTTACAGATCAGTTAACTGAGTTATGGTTCTTTCATATCTCATGCCCAACTTGTAAGAAGAATGTGAAAAAAGTTCAAATCAAGAGGCCAGTCTCAGGTCAATTTGCAGTGATTCTAATCAAACAGGAGCCCCCAAAGGGGAGATGAGTATGTGTTATTCAGACAATGATCAGTCTGGTTTGACGTCAGTTTCTCAGCCTGACACAGAGTCATTAATTACTTCTATCTAGAACTGAAACTCAAGACAGACCTTGGAGCAGGAACACCTACTGAATCTGCACACAGCTGCCCAGTACAACAAATTTAAAGCTAACCCCCAACAGACTTACAGCTGCCCATCTAACAGACAGACAGACTTACAGCTGCCCATCTAACAGACAGACAGACTTACAGTAGACTTCATTAAACTGTTTCATGGTAGGGGCCTCCACGGTCAGGTTGTAGAAATGAGTTCTCAGTTTCCGAGACTTAAGCAGGTCATAACACATCCCCGTGAAGTTGATGCCCAGTATTGCGTATGAGAAGCTGGAACACACAGCACAAGTGTTACTACATGCAGGACGTTGAGTTCAGTGCTGTGTTGAGTAGACGTCAGTTATACATTGTATGTATTTCATCAAATTTCACTGGTTGCTTGGTGAGGGATAATATTCCTTCTCCCCATGGATACGCAAAGCCATTTGGAACAAAGACACCTGGGCACCTGGACTAACATGATTGTGTCTTGCATTTAGAGTTTCAACTGTTAAAGTGGCAGTAACCATGACGAGGTGAACATGGACTTCAGACTCAGGTTTCAGACTTTGGGTGATGGGACAAAGAGGGGAGACAACTTACCTATACTGTGGAGGGTGGGGCAGAGAGGAGACAACTTACAGATACTGTGGAGGGTGGGGCAGAGAGGAGAAACTTACCTATACTGTGGAGGGTGGGGCAGAGAGGAGACAACTTACAGATACTGTGGAGGGTGGGGCAGAGGGGAGACAACTTACCTATACTGTGGAGGGTGGGGCAGAGGGAGACAACTCACCTATACTGTGGAGGGTGGGGCAGAGAGGAGACAACTTACCTATACTGTGGAGGGTGGGGCAGAGGGGAGACAACTTACCTATACTGTGGAGGAAGGGGCAGAGAGGAGACAACTTACCTAAACTGTGATCGTGGGGCAGTGGGGAGACAACTCACCTATACTGTGGAGGGTGGGGCAGAGAGGAGACAACTTACACATACTGTGGAGGGTGGGGCAGAGGGGAGACAACTTACCTATACTGTGGAGGGTGGGGCAGAGAGGAGACAACTTACCTATACTGTGGAGGGTGGGGCAGAGGAGACAACTTACCTATACTGTGGAGGGTGGGGCAGAGGGGAGACAACTTACCTATACTGTGGAGGGTGGGGCAGAGGGGAGACAACTTACCTATACTGTGGAGGGTGGGGCAGAGAGGAGACAACTTACATATACTGTGGAGGGTGGGGCAGAGAGGGGAGACAACCTAACCATGCTGCAGAATATGGTACAGAGAGGGGAGACAACCTAACCATGCTGCAGAAGATGGTACAGAGAGGGGAGACAACTTAACCATGCTGCAGAAGATGGTTAACTGAGAGGGTACTGAGACAACAACTAACCATGCTGCAGAAGATGGTACAGAGAGGGGAGACAACTTAACCATGCTGCAGAAGATGGTACTGAGAGGGGAGACAACTTAACCATGCTGCAGAAGATGGTACTGAGAGGGGAGACAACTTAACCATGCTGCAGAAGATGGTACTGAGAGGGGAGACAACTTAACCATGCTGCAGAAGATGGTACTGAGAGGGGAGACAACTTAACCATGCTGCAGAAGATGGTCCAGAGAGGGGAGACAACCTAACCATGCTGCAGAAGATGGTACAGAGAGGGGAGACAACCTAACCATGCTGCAGAAGATGGTACAGAGAGGGGAGACAACCTAACCATGCTGCAGAAGATGGTACAGAGAGGAGACAACCTAACCATGCTGCAGAAGAACCCTAACCATGCTGCAGAAGATGGTACTGAGGAGGAAGACTACCTAACCTGTGGAGGATGGGGCAGAGAGGAGACAACTTAACCATACTGTGGAGGGTGGGGCAGAGAGGGAGACAACTTAACCATGCTGTGGAAGATGGGGGCAGAGAGGAGACAACCTAACCATGCTGCAGAAGATGGTACAGAGGGGAGACAACTTACCCATACTGCAGAAGATGGTACAGAGAGGAGACAACCTTACAGATGCTGCAGAAGATGGGGCAGAGAGGGAGACAACTAACCATATACTGCAGAAGATGGGGGCAGAGAGGAGACAACTTATCTATACTGAGGAGGGTGGGGCAGAGAGGGGAGACAACTTTCCCATGCTTAGGATGATGAGACATAAAGGAGAGATACCCTATCCATACTATACATGGTGTTACAGAGATTTGTTTTGTTTTGTTGTTAAACACCACAGTCAGCTATATTCCAGCTATATGGCAGCAGTCTGTAAATAATCGGTGGGACAGACAGAGGAGACAACCTACCCATACTGTGGATGGTGGGATTGAGAGAGAAGACTGTGTGTGATTTCGGGATATTCCTTGATGAAATACCTGCAAGTAAAGTACATGATCAAGCACATGAACAAGCAGAAGGCAAAGAACTAGAAAGATATGAAAACATCCCCAATACAAAAATTCCTATCACCCCTTGCAGTACAAAGTCTTGGCAGTCCAGCTACATCACATCACTGTTTGATAAGGAACAACTAAATATCCTTGGACAGAAGAAAGCAGTCAACACTTTGGCTCATTGACAATAAGCGTGACACCTCAGGGTTCACACAGATTATAAGCCATAAACATTGAGGCCTTTTCAAGGCCCAACCAATGAGTGAGTTTAGTTTTTTACGCCGCACTCAGCAATATTCCAGCTATATGGTGGCAATCTGCAAATAATCCAGACAATCCAGTGATCAACAGCAGGAGCATCGATCTGCACAATTGTCAACTGATGACATGTGTCAACCAAGCCAGCGAGCCTGACCACCCGATCCAGTTAGTTGCGTCTTACGACAAGCATGGGTTACTGAAGACCAATATTCTGACCTGGACCTTCACTGGTACAAGGCCCAATCAACAATAATATAAAAACGATAAAAACACACATAACACATAAGTATCTGAATACACACAAGGCTGGTCAAATGTGGTCAGAGGGAAAAACACAGTCACAGCCTCAGATGGAACAATATTTAAGGAACACACTCCAATTTGTTAAACAATATTGGTGACTCAGTGCCAGTGGATGTGACCACCCAAGACAGCCTGCTACTCACAGAAGCTGGTCCAGGCCCAGCAGCCCCATCCCCCTGAAGTCGGTGGCGGGATCATCCCCCTGGAAGCCGATATATGTCCACTGTTTGCTGACCCGGGACTCAAGCTTGGTGGTCGGCATTAGCAATGTCCACAGCTGCCCGTTGAAAACATAACTAATTGTTGTTTTATGCAATATTCAGCAATATTTTAGCTTAATGATGACACCCTATAAATATTAAGAAGCATAGATTCCATGGGTGTATGGATGATGCTAATGAGTTTCAATTACTTAGTGTCAGCAATATTACAGCTGGAAAATTGTAAATAATGGTATGAAACAGCTGTGTCACAATTGAAACAGTTGACTTCCACTTGGTCCGATGGAGGTGAGATGAGGTGAAATTGGGTTTAACGTCGTGCTTGAGAATATTTCGCTCATATGACGACGTGCATGCATGTGTATGCGTATGTGCGGCTGCTTGTACTAGCCCAGACTTAAGCTGGTTTTATAGTGCTAGCCCACTGAGATACCATGCCGCTGTGAAGCATGAATATCCCACTCAGACACATTATACTGATTCCGAGCCGACTAGTCCTTGTAGTACCCATTAATGCCGAGCGCCAGGCACGGACCATCCTCGATAATCTCCAGGGTATACGTTACGATCCCTCTCCACTATACCCTGGATGCATCCACGGCTTGGCCTGATGATTTTATTACCTGAAGATGCACTCTACAGTATTACTCAAGGAATACCACTAAACAAACACCACGTGCACAAACAGCCACGGAGTCAGTTACCAGCATGAGTTTGTCTTCGTGCTGTCTGTCTGCGGTGCTGTACTTGGTCTTCCTGTGATCCTCTACCTGCTGCAGCAACCTCCTGTAGCCACAGATCTGACACACACACACGCTGAAACATCTCTCAAAGCTGAAACAAAAATTGTGAGTGAGTGAGTTTAGTTTTACGCCGCTTTTAGCAATATTCAAACAATATCATGGCGGGGGAGACAAGAAATGGACTTCACACAATGTACCGATGTGGGGAATCAGATGCTTTAACCATTAGGCTACCCCACTGCCCTGGAAACATAATAAACAAACTAGTAGTGAGTGAGTTAGTTTAGTTTTACACCGCACTCAATATTCCAGCTATATGGCGGCAGTCTGTAAATAATCAAGTCAGGACCTGACAATCCAGTGATCAACAGCAGGAGCATCGATCTGCGCAATTGGGAACCGATGACATGTGTCAGCCAAGCCAGTGAGCCTGACCACCCGATCCCGTTAGTCGCCTCTTACGACAAGCATGGGTGACTGAAGCTTCATTCTAACCCAGACCTTCACGGGTCAACAAACTAGTAACAGGTGTACATATCGGCTTGAAGATGAAAACATCAAAACCAAACACATACACAAGCTGAAATGTCGCTCTAGGCTCAAACAAAGAGTAACTAAGCACAGACACACAGGCTGAACAAGTCAAAGTAGGAGAGGAATGTCACTCATGTACTTGAAAGTGTCGGCTGCACCATAAAATCACCTCAAAGCTTCAGGGGAGATAACTCTTACAGCTTTGTTTATACTGTCACATTTCTTTGGTAGAAGATAGGAAACAGTATTTGGTGATCCTCCCAAAAGGTTTCCTCCAGATGGTCACAGGGATTCCATCTTGAACATCCGGTATAGAACCAGAAGGGTAACGGGTTATTTCACCCCAAACACGTTCACCCCAGGCTGTTTCACTCCAGCAAATAATTATTATCATTATCAACTATAGAATTGTTCAAATATTTTATTCATCTATGTATAATGTCAAAACAGTATATTCAGATTGCGCAGAACCTGCAGAATGCACTGGGACAGATCTTAAGGTTATATTAAAATCCACCAACCGCCCATTGCCAATACTGTACAACTGTACATGAGGCCGACAGCCCATTGTCAATACTGTACTACTGTACATGAGGCCGACAGCCCATTGTCAATACTGTACAACAGTACATGAGGCCGAAAGATCACTGTCAATACTGTACTACTGTACATGAGGCCAACAGATCATTGTCAATACTGTACAACTGTACATGAGGCCGACAGACCATTGTCAATACTGTACTACTGTACATGAGGCCAACAGATCATTGTCAATACTGTACAACTGTACATGAGGCCGACAGACCATTGTCAATACTGTACTACTGTACATGAGGCCGACAGCCAATTGCCAATACTGTACAACAGTACATGAGGCCAACAGATCATTGTCAATACTGTACAACTGTACATGAGGCCGACAGATCATTGTCAATACTGTATAACTATACATGAGGCCGACAGATCATTGTCAATACTGTACAACAGTACATGAGGCCAACAGATCATTGTCAATACTGTACAACTACTGCCGACAGATCACTGTCAATACATGAGGCCGACAGATCAGTGTCAATACTGTACTACTATACATGAGGCCGACAGATCATTGTCAATACTGTACAACTGTACATGAGGCCCACAGCCCATTGTCAATACTGTGAGGCATACCTCAGGTACAATGCACCTACTCTAGGCGTACCTCAGGTACAATGCACCTACTCTAGGCGTACCTCAGGTACAATGCACCTGCTCTAGGTGTATCTCAGGTACAATGCACCTACTCTAGGCGTACCTCAGGTACAATGCACCTACTCTAGGTGTACCTCAGGTACAATGCACCTACTCTAGGTGTACCTCAGGTACAATGCACCTACTCTAGGGTGTACCTCAGGTACAATGCACCTACTCTAGGTGTACCTCAGGTACAATGCACCTACTCTAGGTGTACCTCAGGTACAATGCACCTACTCTAGGGGTACCTCAGGTACAATGCACCTACTCTAGGTGTACCTCAGGTACAATGCACCTACTCTAGGTGTACCTCAGGTACAATGCACCTACTCTAGGGGTACCTCAGGTACAATGCACCTACTCTGGGGCATTACCTCAGGTACAATGCACCTACTCTAGGTGTACCTCAGGTACAATGCACCTACTCTAGGGGTACCTCAGGTACAATGCACCTACTCTAGGTGTACCTCAGGTACAATGCACCTACTCTAGGGGTACCTCAGGTACAATGCACCTACTCTAGGTGTACCTCAGGTACAATGCATCTACTCTAGGTGTACCTCAGGTACAATGCATCCTCAGGTACAATGCATCTACTCTAGGTGTACCTCAGGTACAATGCATCTACTCTAGGTGTACCTCAGGTACAATGCACCTACTCTAGGTGTACCTCAGGTACAATGCACCTACTCTAGGTGTACCTCAGGTACAATGCACCTACTCTAGGGGTACCTCAGGTACAATGCACCTACTCTAGGTGTACCTCAGGTACAATGCACCTACTCTAGGTGTACCTCAGGTACAATGCACCTACTCTAGGTGTACCTCAGGTACAATGCACCTACTCTAGGTGTACCTCAGGTACAATGCACCTACTCTAGGTGTACCTCAGGTACAATGCACCTACTCTAGGTGTACCTCAGGTACAATGCACCTACTCTAGGTGTACCTCAGGTACAATGCACCTACTCTAGGTGTACCTCAGGTACAATGCACCTACTCTAGGTGTACCTCAGGTAAAATGCATCTACTCTAGGCGCACCTCAGGTACAATGCACCTACTCTAGGTGTACCTCAGGTACAATGCACCTACTCTAGGGCGTACCTCAGGTAAAATGCATCTACTCTAGGCGTACCTCAGGTACAATGCACCTACTCTAGGTGTACCTCAGGTACAATGCACCTACTCTAGGCGTACCTCAGGTACAATGCATCTACTCTAGGCGTACCTCAGGTACACTGCACCTACTCTAGGTGTACCGTAGGACCATGCACTTACTTTGGGTGTACCTCAGGTACAATAGACTTCAGTCTAAGCACCTCCTTCACTGCTTCACCAATAACCAGGTTGTCATCACTCAAGATTTGTTTCAGTGCCGGCTGATGGGATCGTTTGAGTGACTTTTCTGTAACATATATCACACACACTCTTAAATGGTCAAGGCTGACCACAGACAGAAGCTAACTGGCAGAAGATGCACGACAAAGCAAAGTTAATGTAAAGTTAATGAACTGTGGCACCAAATGCATTGATCCAAAACTAAATGGATTAGAAAAACTGTTCCCAGTTACAAATATACTATAACAACAATTCACATGAATGGCCTCTGAGGTGATGTATGAAAGCAGAGTGGAGGCTAATGCTGTTTTTATTTGGTCATAAGGAACAGAATAAACCTGCTTCGAACATGTGTTTCGAGTGTCTTTAAATGTAACTCAATAAAGGTAAGCTTCCATCTATCACCTATTTCTTAATTCCTAACAATAAAGGTAAGCTTCCATCACTCACCTATTTCTTTATTTCGCAACAACAAAGTAAGCTTCCATCCACCACCTATTTCTTTATTTCGCAACAACAAAGGTAAGCTTCCATCACTCACCTATTTCTTTAATTCCTAACAACAAAGGTAAGCTTCCATCCACCACCTATCTCTAATGGCATTGTGTATTGCATATTTCTTTAATTCCTAACAATAAAGGTAAGCTTCCATCACTCACCTATTTCTTTATTTCGCAACAACAAAGGTAAGCTTCCATCACTCACCTATTTCTTTAATTCCTAACAATGAAGGCAAGCTTCCATCCATCACCTATCTCTAATGGCATTGTGTATTGCATATTTCTTTAATTCCTAACAATAAAGGTAAGCTTCCATTCATCACCTATTTCTTTATTTCGCAACAACAAAGGTAAGCTTCCATCACTCACCTATTTCTTTAATTCCTAACAATAAAGGCAAGCTTCCATCCATCACCTATCTCTAATGGCATTGTGTATTGCATATTTCTTTAATTCCTAACAACAAAGTAAAGCTTCCATCCACCACCTATTTCTTTATTTCGCAACAACAAAGGTAAGCTTCCATCACTCACCTATTTCTTTAATTCCTAACAATAAAGGCAAGCTTCCATCCATCACCTATCTCTAATGGCATTGTGTATTGCATATTTCTTTAATTCCTAACAATAAAGGTAAGCTTCCATCTTTCCATCCATCACCTATTTCTTTATTTCCTAACAATAAAAGTAACAACAAAACAAAGGTAAATCCACTCACCTTTTCATCACTCACCTATTTTCTTTAATTCCTAACAATAAAGGGCAAAGCTTCCATCCATCACTCACCTATTTCTTTATCTCTAATGGCAACAAAGGTAATTCCATCACTCACCTATTTCTTTAATTCCTAACAATAAAGGTAAGCTTCCATCCATCACCTATTTCTTTATTTCGCAACAACAAAGGTAAGCTTCCATCACTCACCTATTTCTTTAATTCCTAACAATAAAGGTAAGCTTCCATCACTCACCTATTTCTTTATTCCTAACAACAAAGGTAAGCTTCCATCCACTCACCTATTTCTTTATTTCCTAACAACAAAGGTAAGCTTCCATCACTCACCTATTTCTTTAATTCCTAACAATAAAGGTAAGCTTCCATCCATCACCTATCTCTAATGGCATTGTGTATTGCATATTTCTTTAATTCCTAACAATAAAGGTAAGCTTCCATCCATCACCTATTTCTTTATTTCGCAACAACAAAGGTAAGCTTCCATCACTCACCTATTTCTTTAATTCCTAACAATAAAGGCAAGCTTCCATCCATCACCTATCTCTAATGGCATTGTGTATTGCATATTTCTTTAATTCCTAACAATAAAGGTAAGCTTCCATCCATCACCTATTTCTTTATTTCGCAACAACAAAGGTAAGCTTCCATCACTCACCTATTTCTTTAATTCCTAACAATAAAGGCAAGCTTCCATCCATCACCTATTTCTTTATTTCTCTAACAATGGCATTGTGTTCCATCCACCACCTATTTCTTTTTTCTAACAACAAAGGTAAGCTTCCATCACATCACCTATTTCTTTTATTTCCTAACAACAAAGGTAAGCTTCCATCCTCCAACAACAACAAAGGTAAGCTTCCATCACTCACCTATTTCTTTATTTCTCAACAATAAAGGCAAGCTTCCATCACTCACCTATTTCTTTAATTCCTAACAACAAAGGTAAGCTTCCATCCATCACCTATTTCTTTTTTTCCCTAACAACAAAGGTAAGCTTCCATCCATCACCTATTTCTTTATTTCCTAACAATAAAGGTAAGCTTCCATCACTCACCTATTTCTTTATTTCCTAACAACAAAGGTAAGCTTCCATCACTCACCTATTTCTTTATTTCGCAACAACAAAGGTAAGCTTCCATCCACCACCTATTTCTTTATTTCGCAACAATAAAGGTAAGCTTCCATCACTCACCTATTTCTTTATTTTGCAACAACAAAGGTAAGCTTCCATCACTCACCTATTTCTTTATTTCCTAACAACAAAGGTAAGCTTCCATCACTCACCTATTTCTTTAATTCCTAACAACAAAGGTAAGCTTCCATCCATCACCTATTTCTTTATTTCCTAACAACAAAGGTAAGCTTCCATCCACCACCTATTTCTTTATTTCGCAACAACAAAGGTAAGCTTCCATCACTCACCTATTTCTTTAATTCCTAACAATAAAGGTAAGCTTCCATCCATCACCTATTTCTTTATTTCCTTACAATAAAGGTGAGCTTCCATCACTCACCTATTTCTTTAATTCCTAACAATAAAGGCAAGCTTCCATCACTCACCTATTTCTTTAATTCCTAACAACAAAGGTAAGCTTCCATCTATCACCTATTTCTTTAATTCCTAACAACAAAGGTAAGCTTCCATCACTCACCTATTTCTTTAATTCCTAACAACAAAGGTAAGCTTCCATCACTCACCTATTTCTTTAATTCCTAACAACAAAGGTAAGCTTCCATCCATCACCTATTTCTTTATTGCGCAACAACAAAGGTAAGCTTCCATCATCACCTATTTCTTTAATTCCTAACAACAAAGGCTAAGCTTCCATCCATCACCTATTTCTTTTTTTCGCAACAACAAAGGTAAGCTTCCATCACTCACCTATTTCTTTATTTCGCAACAACAAAAGTAAGCTTCCATCCACCACCTATTTCTTTGTTTACCAACAAGGGTAGGTTCATCACCTGTTTTTGTTGCATGACAATAAAGTAAGCTTCCATCCATCACCTATTTCTTTAATTCCTTACAAAAAAGGTGGCTTCCATCACTCACCTATTTCTTTGTTTTCATAACAATAAGGCAAGCTTCCATCACTCACCTATTTCTTTAATTCCAAACAACAAGGGTGGCTTCCATCTATCACCTATTTCTTTAATTCCTAAACAACAAGGTAAGCTTCCATCCACCACCTATTTCTTTATTTCCTAACAAACAAAGGTAAAGCTTCCATCCACTCACCTATTTCTTTAATTCCTAACAACAAGGCAAGCTTCCATCCATCACCTATTTCTTTGTTTCAACAACAACAAAAGGTAAGCTTCCATCATCACCTATTTCTTTAATTCCTAACAACAAAGGCAAGCTTCCATCCATCACCTATTTCTTTATTTTCACAACAAAGGGTAAGCTTCCATCACTCACCTATTTCTTTTATTTGAGCAACAACAAAAGTGCTTCCATCCACCACCTATTTCTTTATTTCAAGCAACAACAAAGTAAGCTTCCATTCATCACCTATTTCTTTGTTTCAAGCAACAATAAAGGTAAAGCTTCCATCCATCACCTATTTCTTTTTTTCAACAACAAAAAGTGCTTCCATTCATCACCTATTTCTTTATTTCGCAACAACAAAAGTAAGCTTCCATCCATCACCTATTTCTTTATTTCGAAACAACAAAGGTAAGCTTCCATCCACCACCTATTTCTTTATTTCGCAACAACAAAAGTAAGCTTCCATCACTCACCTATTTCTTTATTTCGCAACAATAAAGGCAAGCTTCCATCCATCACCTATCTCTAATGGCATTGTGTATTGCAGATTTCTTTTTTTCGCAACAATAAAGGTAAGCTTCCATTCATCACCTATTTCTTTATTAAGCAACAACAAAGGTAAGCTTCCATCACTCACCTATTTCTTTATTTCCTAACAATAAAGGCAAGCTTCCATCACTCACCTATTTCTTTAATTCCTAACAACAAAGGTAAGCTTCCATCTATCACCTATATCTTTTTTTCGCAACAACAAAGGTGAGCTTCCATCTATCACCTATTTCTTTATTTCCTAACAATAAAGGTAAGCTTCCATCACTCACCTATTTCTTTATTTCCTAACAATAAAGGTGAGCTTTCCATCACTCACCTATTTCTTTATTTCGCAACAACAAAGGTAAGCTTCCATCCACCACCTATTTCTTTATTTCGCAACAATAAAGGTAAGCTTCCATCACTCACCTATTTCTTTATTTCAACAACAAAGGTAAGCTTCCATCACTCACCTATTTCTTTATTTCCTAACAACAAAGGTGAGCTTCCATCACTCACCTATTTCTTTAATTCCTAACAACAAAGGTAAGATTCCATCTATCACCTATTTCTTTATTTCCTAACAACAAAGGTAAGCTTCCATCACTCACCTATTTCTTTATTTCGCAACAATAAAGGCAAGCTTCCATCACTCACCTATTTCTTTATTTCCTAACAATAAAGGTAAGCTTCCATCTATCACCTATTTCTTTATTTCCTTACAATAAAGGTAAGCTTCCATCACTCACCTATTTCTTTATTTCGCAACAATAAAGGCAAGCTTCCATCACTCACCTATTTCTTTAATTCCAAACAACAAAGGTAAGCTTCCATCTATCACCTATTTCTTTAATTCCTAACAACAAAGGTAAGCTTCCATCCATCACCTATTTCTTTAATTCCTAACAACAAAGGCAAGCTTCCATCCATCACCTATTTCTTTATTTCGCAACAACAAAGGTAAGCTTCCATCATCACCTATTTCTTTAATTCCTAACAACAAAGGCAAGCTTCCATCCATCACCTATTTCTTTATTTCGCAACAACAAAGGTAAGCTTCCATCACTCACCTATTTCTTTATTTCGCAACAACAAAAGTAAGCTTCCATCCACCACCTATTTCTTTATTTCATGAACAACAAAGGTAAGCTTCCATTCATCACCTATTTCTTTATTTAAAGGTAAAGCTTCCATCCATCACCTATTTTTTTTGCAACAACAAAGGTGAAGCTTCCATTCATCACCTATTTCTTTATTTCGCAACAACAAAAGTAAGCTTCCATCCATCACCTATTTCTTTATTTCGAAACAACAAAGGTAAGCTTCCATCCACCACCTATTTCTTTATTTCGCAACAACAAAGTAAGCTTCCATCACACCTATTTCTTTGTTTAAACAACAAGGTGGCTTCCATCCACCACCTATTTCTTTATTTCGCAACAACAAAAGTAAGCTTCCATCCACCACCTATTTCTTTTTTTCGCAACAACAAAGGTAAGCTTCCATTCATCACCTATTTCTTTATTTCGAACAACAAAAGTGAGCTTCCATCCACCACCTATTTCTTTATTTCGCAACAACAAAGGTAAGCTTCCATCACTCACCTATTTCTTTAATTCCTAACAATAAAGGCAAGCTTCCATCCATCACCTATCTCTAATGGCATTGTGTATTGCATATTTCTTTAATTCCTAACAATAAAGGTAAGCTTCCATTACTCACCTCTTTCTTTTTTTCGCAACAACAAAGGTAAGCTTCCATTCATCACCTATTTCTTTATTTCGCAACAACAAAAGTAAGCTTCCATCCACCACCTATTTCTTTATTTCGCAACAACAAAAGTAAGCTTCCATCCACCACCTATTTCTTTATTTCGCAATAACAAAGGTAAGCTTCCATCACTCACCTATTTCTTTAATTCCTAACAATAAAGGCAAGCTTCCATCCATCACCTATCTCTAATGGCATTGTGTATTGCATATTTCTTTAATTCCTAACAATAAAGGTAAGCTTCCATCACTCACCTACTTTAATTCCTAACAATAAGGTAAGCTTCCATCACTCACCTATTTCTTTTATTTCCGCAACAACAAAGGGTAAGCTTCCATCACTCACCTATTTCTTTAATTCCTAAACAATAAAGGTAAGCTTCCATCCATCACCTATTCAATGGCTATTGCATCTTTAATTCCTAACAATAAAGGTAAGCTTCCATCCATCACCTATTTCTTTATTTCGCTAACAACAACAAAGTAAGCTTCCATCACTCACCTATTTCTTTTAATTCCTAACAATAAAGGAAAGCTTCCATCCATCACCTATCTCTAATGGCATTGTGTATTGCATATTTCTTTAATTCCTAACAATAAAGGCAAGCTTCCATCCATCACCTATCTCCATTGTGTATTGCATATTTCTTTAATTCCTAACAACAAAGAGCAAGCTTCCATCCATCACCTATCTCTAATGGCTATTTTCTTTTAATTCAACAATAAAGGTAAGCTTCCATTCATCACCTATTTCTTTAATTCCTAACAACAAAGGTAAGCTTCCATCCATCACCTATTTCTTTATTTCGCAACAACAAAGGTAAGCTTCCATCACTCACCTATTTCTTTAATTCCTAACAACAAAGGTAAGCTTCCATCTATCACCTATTTCTTTTTTTCCTAACAACAAAGGTAAGCTTCCATTCATCAATCACCTATTTCTTTAATTCCTAACAACAAAGGTAAGCTTCCATCACTCACCTATTTCTTTAATTCCTAACAACAAAGGTAAGCTTCCATCTATCACCTATTTCTTTATATTCCTAACAACAAAGGTAAGCTTCCATCCATCACCTATTTCTTTATTTCCTAACAACAAAGGTAAGCTTCCATCCATCACCTATTTCTTTAATTCCTAACAACAAAGGCAAGCTTCCATCCATCACCTATTTCTTTATTTCGCAACAACAAAGGTAAGCTTCCATCATCACCTATTTCTTTAATTCCTAACAACAAAGGCAAGCTTCCATCCATCACCTATTTCTTTATTTCGCAACAACAAAGGTAAGCTTCCATCACTCACCTATTTCTTTATTTCGCAACAACAAAAGTAAGCTTCCATCCACCACCTATTTCTTTATTTCGCAACAACAAAGGTAAGCTTCCATTCATCACCTATTTCTTTATTTCAACAATAAAGGTAAGCTTCCATCCATCACCTATTTCTTTTTTTTGCAACAACAAAGGTAAGCTTCCATTCATCACCTATTTCTTTATTTCGCAACAACAAAAGTAAGCTTCCATCCACCACCTATTTCTTTATTTCGAAACAACAAAGGTAAGCTTCCATCCACCACCTATTTCTTTATTTCGCAACAACAAAAGTAAGCTTCCATCACTCACCTATTTCTTTATTTCGCAACAACAAAGGTAAGCTTCCATCCACCACCTATTTCTTTATTTCGCAACAACAAAAGTAAGCTTCCATCCACCACCTATTTCTTTTTTTCGCAACAACAAAGGTAAGCTTCCATTCATCACCTATTTCTTTATTTCGCAACAACAAAGGTAAGCTTCCATCCACCACCTATTTCTTTATTTCGCAACAACAAAAGTAAGCTTCCATCCACCACCTATTTCTTTATTTCGCAACAACAAAGGTAAGCTTCCATTCATCACCTATTTCTTTATTTCGCAACAACAAAGGTAAGCTTCCATCCACCACCTATTTCTTTATTTCGCAACAACAAAGGTAAGCTTCCATTCATCACCTATTCTCTTTGTCCTTCCTGCTCCAGGCTCTTCATCATATGTTATCCTCAACAGTTCACATTTCCCTGTAACTCTCCTGAGGATCCACTTGATCATGGGTCTGGCCAATAAATACAACTGACACCACAAGCTAGTCCATATTTCAGTCCACATTGAAAGCAGCCGGGCAAGTTGTGCTTGATGTTGAGTACTGGAAATGTCAAAGTGAAACTAGATTAGCTGTGATAGAGTTAAAGGGGAACTTGGCCTGAAAGTGTCAAAGTGAAACTAGATTAGCTGTGTTAGAGTTAAACTTGGGGAACTTGTCCTGAAAGCTGTCAAAGTGAAACTTGATTAGCTGTGTTAGAGTTAAAGGGGAACTTGGCCTGAAAGTGTCAATGAGGAACTAGATCTGCTGTGTTGGGAGACTCGAGGTCAGCACAGGGCAGGTTCCCAGAACAGGGAACTTGCTACAGAAACTAGCACTGAAAACACAAACACTAAACTGAAATACATTTCAGAATATGATTATCACCCATGAATACTCAAACATTTAACACTATGAATTCAATTTGTCTAAGAATGAAGCTATTCTACAGCCATAGGCCTATAAAGCTGGCAGAATGTCAGGCTCTATGAGAGGAGGGGGAAGAGGAGGAGGGGCTTAGATTCCATTTTATTATCTATCCTTGCCGTTCGTTATGTAAATATGTACATCAGTGCTATGACCACTTGTATGTTTGAGACAATTCTGATATTATACATGTGCATCACCTTATAGCAAGAAGACACACATTTTCTAACTTGTCTGACACCTCTGAGTGAGTGAGTTAAAATTTAAAGTCACATCAGCAATATTTCAGCCATATCGTGACTACTGACGCCTCTGAGCCCAAGCTAGTGTGTTGAAATAGCTATACAAAATATGAGTGAGTGAGTTGTGTTTTATGCTGCTTATAGCAATATTCCAGCAATATCCCGGGCTAGGGACACCAGAATGGACTTCACACATTGTACCCATGTGGGGAACAAAGGTTTTCTGGGTGACGAGCGAATGCTTTAACCACTACGCTACCCCACCGCCACAAAAAATGAAATATGTGTGACAAAGACGTAAGGTCAAACAAACTGTTTGTTTTTTTGTACAAAATTTAAAACTGATTTAGTGATGGTGAAACTGAGCTCCAGTTTAGTTTGAAAACTGTCACACTCTCACTAAAGCAAATATTTCAGTCTTTGACTATAATATTGAAACACTGTTTGAATGCTAAAAATACTTTAACAGAATCAGTAATATGAAATCTGAACTTTTAAAGCCCAATGCAACACTTATTGAATGGATGGTCAGGACAGCAGTATGTCCTCACATATATTGTTTGGTTTCACACAAGTAGTATCTCTTGTTGGAGCCAGTATCTAATCATCCTTGGAAAGACTTCTACCTGCAACCCCACCTTCAAGTGTTGCCTTGGTTAGGGCAACCAAACCCTAACCCCATATAAATGTAGCCAGGTTATGATTTCTTTAAATTTCAGTCACTGAGTTAGTGAGTTTGGTCTTACGCCACTTTTAGCAATATTCCAGCAATATCACAGTAGGGGACACTAGAAATGGGCTTCACACATTGTACCCACGTGGGGAATTGAACCCAGACTTTCAGCGTGATGAGCGAACGCTTTAACCACCTGGCAACACCACCACCCCTCTTTAAATTTTCAGGCAAGATTACAAGTGAGGGTTTTAACCATAAATGTGATCATCTATGAGGGCAAATAATTAGATACTTGTGTTTGTTTGTTATACTGACCTCTCTGTCACTAACATTTCTGGGACCGTACTGATGTAATTATTACAATTCGTTTGCTGGAGAAGCACAAGTTTCAACACTGTGTTGACAAATTTCCTTCATAGCTAATTCTTTTTCATTCAGGAACTTACAAAGTGGTCCTAAGTCACAGACGCGTAACATTATTTTACAGGGCATTGTCATTGTCTGAGGACGGTCATCTGCCATTAACTGCCCAATGATGAGAGCAGGTAGACAGAGGGCTTCTGGAAAATGTTCTGTAAATAATCACCCCTACCAGTGCAGTTACGCTAACCGAGGGCCGCGATACGGTCCTGTACAGGCTCTCGGCGACAGTTACGCAGGATCAGTTTGACGTATTTGTGATCCACACCATAGTCAGCATTATTCAAGCTATATATCTGCAGTAAATCATCAACTCTGGACCAGACAGGCCAGTGATTGAGATCATCAGCATCGTTAGATGCTACTGGGATATGATGACATGTATTAATGATAGCAGCGAATGACCCCCAGTTCTGTAAGCATGGGTTGCTGAGGATCAGTTATATCACATATACGGATCAGTTTGTGGGGACAGAGAACTCAAAATGTCTTAGTCAACCTAATAAAACCAATAGCTTGTTCCACATCATGAAGAAACTGTTCACTAGATTATTGACAATGTTCAACATCAAAGGTTCTATCACAATAGTAGCAGTCCTCCATCCCATCCAAAGTTCGTCACCTGTTCTTCATCATGACAATAGTATACTGAAACTTTGTTGTGGGCCTGCCAAGTGAACTGCAGTTTAATTAGGGAGAAGCAATCATAACATGAAGACAAAGTCATCAATATCCCCCCCCCAATCGCAAAATACTCTTCATGAATATGTCAACTAGTTATGACTATGTTTTGGAGTGTATATAGCAAGGTGGAAGGAGAGTATTGAAAGGTTCAACAGTTCTGCTCCAGAAAGGAGCACTACCACCAAATTCAGTATAAGTCAAACTTGTTGCCATGGAAATGCAAATAATATTTTATTCAGAAATCCAAAACTACCAAAAGGCACCAGCACAGTACCAGACCTATCCATGTGAGAAGTTTGGTGAAGAAATAGAGAACGGTTTTAAAGTTCTGCTCCAGAAAAGAGCACCAACACCAATTTAGTCGAAGTCAAACTTGTGGCTATGGAAAGCATAAAATATCGTTGAAATACACAATGCCATTTAGAAAGTGGTCAAATGTAACATATGTTATAAAAAATATCTTATTCAGAAATCCAAAGCTACCAAAAGGCACCAGCTCACCACCAGACCTATCTGGTGAAGAATACTGAACATTTTTTATGTTCTGCTCTGGAAAAGACGACTGTGCACGGATGGACACACGGACGGACGGACACATGGGATACTGATTTGTTTCTATTCTAAGAAGAGAGATTAACTTAGTGCTAACCGACTGATGGATGAATGGGCAAAGACCAGTCACATGTGTCAGCACTGAAGTTATCAATGTAAGCTTAAAGCCAAAATGTATCAACACATTTTGGGACAGCAGTGCTCACTATGACTGAATGAGTCATTGATGGCAAAGGTATGACAGATATATACACCAGGTAGGTTTCTGAAAACATAAACCTACCCTAGCCAAAATCAGAATACAGAAACGTACCCTAGGATAAGTCCATTCCATATTGTGATTTTTTCTTCATCGAAACTGTTATTCTGTTGTATTAAATATATTTGATTGTGTTATATACAGGACAAAATAAGTTAGGGATATTGGTATGTTTATGATATATATTTTATAAGTGAGTCAATGAATAAATAGATCATTATTCATAATTTCAAAATTTACATATATCCCTAACTATTTTTGCCAGTATATAGGTAACGAGCATACAGAGTAACAAATATTTTGCGATGCAGAATATCACTCATAATCAGCTGAATGGGAACAACTACATATGGTTTTAGTTTTTGGTTGCAGAATATGGACTCATCTGATGTTTTGGGTACAGGGAACGTTTCTGTATTTTAAGGCTCCTATTTAAAGCTTACATGCAACGCAGAACACAACTTTGCAAATTCTGATACGTTTCGGTATGGACAAATTATCAAAAATGCAAATTCAACTTATAAAGTTGAAAAATAAAGCGATGAACACACACACACGGAAAATCGGGAGTTCAAACGATTCACTAAAATCACCCCAGCTGGGGTGAAAAGTGGTTTCAACAGCTGTGTTGCGCTGCACTCATAGCGCATGCGCAGTTAATAGGTTCGCGCAGCTTGAAGTGGGATGGCCGGATTATAAGGTTGTGAGCAGGAGTAGTCTAATCTTGGTTGTGTACACAAAAAACAAATAGTAAATAATCTACTCGTTACATAAAAGAACCTTGTTTAGGATCTAGAAGCCAGTGAGGCGTTCGACATTTCAAGACGGAAAACCTTCACTGACGGTGAGTACTTGGAGTAGGCTTGATGTGGGTTATTTTTCTAATGTTTTGACTTTTGTTGATATTTCACAGGCACAAGCTTTTTATATGTTATGACAGTAGATTATCGATTTAACTGTTTAAATATAATTTCATTTGACTATTTCACCAGACGTTCTTCTTACCGAGTCACTTTCTCAGTTCGATACTTAAAAGCAACGTCATTATTTAGCATTGTCAGAATTTCTAACTGCGATATAGATATGCCTCTGTCACAGACAAAACTCAATGTCTGTTTTATTAAAGCCTATGTGTCTGCCTGCCTGTCTGCTAATGACAATATGCAATACACAACTTCGATCACTGACCACATGCAACTTAAACTTAACACCTATCAGGCAATACACCATAAACAAAACACATTGATTTATGGCTCGTGCACCCGACTTCTGTCTCTGTCACATTACGTAATTACACAGGCAGGCAGGTGTGATACTTGTACACACGATATGTTATGATGTCTGTTGATTGCAAAATGTTACACACAAAAAATCAGCATGTATTTACAAAACCCATCATCAGCGAGTTTCTAATTGGATAATATAGTTGCACGTTAAAAGAGGTGGGAATAATAGAAGATACTATCCAAACAGAGACTCGCTCTACTATTGGGTGCGGGTCTGTAGCCTGAGATTTGTTTACTTCCGGGCATATGTCCTGACTTCGTCCGAGAATGGACGGCAAAATTATTGAAAGCTTTAAATGGGAATAAAATCATCAGGTTTGTGATACGCAAGGTACTTTACAGAGGTCAACTGAGTATAAATTGTGCAGTTTATTCAACGGTCAAAGCGATGGAAGCGTTTGTCAGAACGAAACCGAGCCGAGTCGCCATTTTGTTTCTATTTACTGACACACCTTCCTTATATCTTATATATATAGGTCATGCTTATAAATATATCAGAGTCGGGCACCTACGTCTGCAGTACCCTTTCAAGCTCACTATGGCTGTAACGATGGGTGTTGTGTTGTGTTGTCCTAAGGGTTTTTTGCCCATGGGGTTTTTGTCCTATAATTGTTGCATCATATAGATATTGTGAACTCTTGAATGGTGGCTTGAGTTTATGATACAGATATCTTTTATAAGTTAAATCGAGACAAAAACGATGTTCTTAAATGTCCAAAATCCATAACCACATATTACACTTCTACATTGTACTTCTTTCCTTAGTTTGTTACTTGACCACATGATTTTATAGAAGCATTCTCGTGGTTAATTACTCAAATTGAAACAAATATCTAACCATGTGGATTTTGTGATTGTTCAATATTGACCTCAGTGCTTTTTTAGGTTTACGCTGGCACACTCTTGGTTCCTTCATATCATGCGCTGGTAAGAGTTCCCCAAGTAAAGTACACATCATTGTTGTATATTTCATTTATGTATACATTTCATACATTTTAATTCTTGAACATGTGCGATACTGAAAACATGAAACAGGCAATGTTGTCAACTTCTATTCGCAACAAGGAAATAACTGACTGTACGGCAAATGAGCTGAAATCTTACGTATACGTATCGCCATTCACCGGAAGTGACTCAGGTCGTGTTACCAAGAGAACGACCAATCATAATACGCCTCACACTCGTTTTAATGTGCTATGTATCGCGTAGTTTCGTATCCAGGTAGCTCTCAGTATGACTATATATCCATATAACGCAGCCCCAGGGGGCCTTATTTTGAGATTGCAAAAATGATATTGTGATTTCTAGAGATATTATTATGACATTTCAGGGCCTGTTGATGTCGTTCTTTGAAAACGTCAGATATTGACATTCGAGAGATGAGTTAGGCAAGCATGGCGCGGTTGGATATTCACGTTACAGACAAAGTGCTAGATTTTTTACATTTGTTTCTTCTATTACAAACTTTACAACCTTCTTCAACATATGTAGATGCAGTAGAAAGTCACAGCCAAGGTAAGACACAGAAAAAATCACGAAACATTATGTCTAGATGTTGAAAACAGGGTATAAATGTTGTGAGGTTGCGCTTGTGTTTACATGCGGGACTGTCGCGAACACAATGTGTTTGCCCCGAAAATGACATTGATTGTGATGACATATGTGAATCATGAATTTGAGTTTATCACAGTAATGTGTCAGGTTTTACAAATACTGATCGCAGACACATAATCTGTGGAAATATCGCCATATTTTGATGTGTTTATGGTTGATGTGACCATGCCGGAAATAGATTCCACAACGCGTTCGAGCAGAACATCTTGTCTATAAAGAACGGTCTCTAGGGCTACTACAATGACATCTCAGTCGAACGACAATACACTATATACTCCAGTGTTGTCATTAACATTGACATTTACATATGTATCCCTTTTTCCATTAATAATCGACTTTTTCTTTCTTTCCAGCGTTCATCCAAACAGACAAACATTTGACCTACATTGTAGGTGATATTAGTGGAATACCTTTAGAAGTGAGTATTACCATCGTCTGCTATCATGAGTGTAATTCAGTGTTAGATTCACAGTGTTTGCACTTGATCTAAAGACAAGTTAGCTATAAACAGATACATTCTAGTGGAGTGTACATATACAAGATGTGTGTATTCCTGTATGCTTTGCTGACCCAGTTTGCAATGACAGTACAGTACTACGACTAAAGATAAAATTGATAATAAACATCGACACAAGCCATGATCACAAGTTGAATGCTCCATGTCTTGGGTTACTTCTTTGATTTGAAAGGCATACTCATTGCATGAGCAAAGATTTTATGTGAAATTATTACCAGTAGAGTATCTTTTAAATTGTATCTGTCATTTAATATAATCATGATAATGTGATGTTATGCTGTTAATTTCCATTTGATTAATTTAAGGAAATTAAATTAATAATTTTTATATCTTAGTCTTTTGACTTGAACAGAGTGTCATATTTGTGCCAAATTTATGGATCTAGTTGATTTCCCACTCATTTTATGTTTTGATGTTTACAGTACTGTGTAAATCTAATTGTAGTTAGATTTCACAAAATGAACTGTATTTTGTAAAGTAGATCAAAGAGTCAATATGTGTACTGGTGATATGGAGGAAATGCTTCCTTATTCAATTCACGCATGTGTCATTCATTGCCCTTGACTCTTTTGTTTCTATGTCCTCTATGGAAACAGGGAGTTTGTTTGTCACTTTGTGACCTTTCTAACTGGAAGTGCTGTAGAAGTGCCTTGTGTCCGTGTTCACTGCTGAGCAAATATCTAACTCATGTACAGCTCACACTCTTGCTGTCTCATCATTCTTCAGATCAAAGTCATTCATTTGATGTAGGATGATTAGTTTATTTTGTGGTGCAACACTTTTTGTTGTTGCTGGCTTAAAACATTTGAAGTTTTAAACAATTAAACCTCTGTTTACACACTCTTGTCTAAAAATATCTTTCATGCCAATACTATCAACAATTGACCATTTTCAGACAGGTTTAGAAGTTCCTGTGAACAGTTTAGTTTAACATTTTTATTATTACATGTGCACCCAAACCAAGCAGGATAATAGTCAACACTCCTAATTCTTTGATTTGTCAGTAATGTGGTCACTTGTCATTGCCATTATAAGTTTGATGTCACAGAATTTATTGTTATTGTTTTACTGATTATCATGAATAATACATCAGCTGCTTACTTCTTACTTTATTTGTCACCCAACATTCGTGATATGTTCTCCTCAAAATGAATTCGTTTATATATGTTTTGCAAGCTTTGTTATAAATCAAGACGATCTCAAGATCCAGTGAGAGGTTGAGGATATTTTGCTTTAATAGGACACCCTGATTTTTATGATAGATTACAAGGTCAGGGTTCTGTAAAGGGCCCATAGACATCTTTCTAGAATTGCACAACACTGTAAACACAGCTTGGGGTGTAGACAACGAGACATAACACATTTAAATGTTGTCCCTATCAAGCCTTGCATTGGATGACATTATTGAGGTTTATCATGACATCAGTCATGCTGAATGAATTTGAAAAGAAAAAATGTGTGGTTTCTGGTCTCAGATCGCTAGCATCCGGGGAGGATTATTAGAGGAAGTAGGGTTTCTCCGTTGAATAGTGACATTGTGTGCTCCACCACTGTTTGTTGTTACAGAGGCTCCTTGTCTGTACCACAATAGATAACTGACGAAGCGAGACAAGGAGCAAGACAATTCAAAATCCAAATCCTGCTTGTGACACTTGATACTTTATAGTTCTGTTTACTTTCATTGTTGATGGCTGCACACAGAACTTATGTACAGGGAAAACATGATCCAACATAATGATGAAAAGAGTTAAAAAATATTATGATATTATTAAAGATATTTCTTATTTTGCCCCCATGATATTTGTGACATAGTGCTCTTGTCTTTGGCTAGTTTGCCAGGGTTTATAATTTTCCTATGTGTAATGTTCAGTTTTGGATACTCAAGGGTATTATTTATGAATACCCCTATCTGTACTTATGCCCTGTTACAATACATGCTTGGTGGTAACCATGGTAACATTTCATCTTACAAATAGAAGCAATCATATCTATTTTTTTAGTTGTTATCCTCGTAAATAAATGTGAATTTGGGACAATTACAAGCTCAGCCTAATGACTAACTAACACTTTTGACACTAAAATGCCAATTTTTCCAGTGATAGTGTGAGTATTGGGGCTTGCATGCCACTCAGCTTAGTGTCAAACTTTGGGGTCCATATTAATCATGGTTCAGTAACAACATGATGAACATACCTTGTCATGCCACAGATATTTCTAGGATAACACAAAAACCAATTTATGATATTTGGGGTCATTCTAAAGTGAAAATATTTTTGCCCATGTTAACCACCACAGTTGGTGATTCTTACATGTTTTGTTTCTACTTCCCTATCACTGTATCAATCTTTAGTGGTTCATGTCCATGTGAACACTTTGCCTGAAATATCAGGTTTAAACAAAATGTTAAAGGGAGGTCACCCAAAGCCTTCCTTTCTATTTCCCTCTGGGCATCTCAGGAAGCTCTGACACTAGTCCGATAGTAGTGAATAGCTTTCAGGAAAGTGGTGTTACTTGTAGCGAGGTTAGATCCCGGTTGTGGACTGAGGATACAGTTTTATCATTTGTTTCCTTGTAAACTCCGAATTTGCAACACAAAATCAGACTGTATATGAGAGTGAGACTACATTTGCTGTTAACGTTAGTTTAAAGTTTGAACTGTAATTGTGTCTTTTCAATCCTGTCAACTCAGTCCAAATAAGACTTGTTTTCAGAAACAAAGTCTGATGTTAAAATAAGAGTAATACTAGTATCATTTTTTGAAAAAATCTGTTTTACAGTTCCAAGGATAGCACTTGTTTCCAGATAAATGGGCAAGACTTTGCCTTCAAATGTTGTATTGAAAAATAGAAGTTTCGTCTCAGTCCTAAGAGAAACATGCTTCCATTTAATTATTCTCCATCAAAACATACAAGAGTGGGTATTGACCCAGATGATCAGCCAGCTGTTTCCCCACCAAGCGCATATTGAGAACAACTCAGCATTCACTCTGATAAATACTTTCAATTTCATTTTTGCTCTTTTGACCTGTGCTTTGCAGAAACGGCAAAGAATTTCAGATTTTATTGTCCATATTTAAGCAGTACTAAAACAAGCATGTAGAAAACTGTGTTCCAAAGTGGAATATGCTCTCTCAAAGCCCCTGGACACGCTTAACTCCCATCCTGCCTGGCCACCTTCCGCTTTGAATGTAGCCATTTGTTTGGATCCAAATTAGGTATGTTCAAAGACTAAGGTTTAGTGTGACATGTGGCAGTACTTGTGCCTGTATGATTCACCTTTGATATATGATTCTTTTCTACTTCAGATAAAAACCAGGTCATGGGTTTCCAGACCCGCTTTGTAAGTATTTCAACACTCTTTTCTATTTAGATAGTTTTTTGTTCTTAAATTGAACTATTATATGCATCAATGTGTATGATATAAGTCTGTATAGCAAGTGTTGTTGCATTCAAATGCAGTTGATTTGAAGGGGTTGAGATGTATGTACTATGCTGGACCAACCTCAATACACAGATGAGGGAGACCCCTTGTTGCATGTACACTGAACCAACCTCAATACACATATGATGGAGACCCTTGTTGCATGTACACTGAACCAACCTCAATACACAGATGAGAGAGACCCTTGTTGCATGTACACTGAACCAACCTCAATACACAGATGAGAGAGACCCTTGTTGCATGTACACTGAACCAACCTCAATACACAGATGAGGGAGACCCTTGTTGCATGTACACTGAACCAACCTCAATACACAGATGGAGGGAGACCCTTGTTGCATGTACACTGAACCAGCCTCAATACACAGATGGAGGGAGACCCTTGTTGCATGTACACTGAACCAACCTCAATACACAGATGGAGGGAGACCCTTGTTGCATGTACACTGAACCAACTCTCAATACACAGATGGAGGGAGACCCTTGTTGCATGTACACTGAACCAACCTCAATACACAGATGAAGAGAGACCCTTGTTGCATGTACACTGAACCAACCTCAATACACAGATGGAAGGAGACCCTTGTTGCATGTACACTGAACCAACCAATCAATACACAGATGGAGGGAGACCCCTTGTTGCATGTACACTGAACCAACCTCTCACACACAGATGGAGGGAGACCCTCGTTGCATGTACACTGAACCAACCTCAATACACAGATGAGGGAGACCCTTGTTGCATGTACACTGAACCAACCTCAATACACAGATGGAGGGAGACCCTTGTTGCATGTACACTGAACCAACCTCAATACACAGATGAGGGAGACCCTTGTTGCATGTACACTGAAGCAACCTCAATACACAGATGGAGGGAGACCCTTGTTGCATGTACACTGAACCAACCTCAATACACAGATGAAGGAGACCCTTGTTGCATGTACACTGAACCAACCTCAATACACAGATGTAGGGAGATTCTTGTTGCATGTACACTGAACCAACCTCAATACACAGATGGAGGGAGGCCCTTGTTGCATGTACACTGAACCAACCCTCAATACACATTGATGGAGGGAGGCCCCTTGTTGCATGTACACTGAACCAACCTCAATACACACATATGAGGGAGACCCTTGTTGCATGTACACTGAACCTAATCTCTCAATACACAGATGGAGGGAGACCCTTGTTGCATGTACACTGAACCAACCTCAATAAACATATGGAGGGAGACCCTTGTTGCATGTACACTGAACCTACCTCACCAACCCTCAATACACAGATGAGAGTGACCCCTGTTGCATGTACACTGAACCAACCTCAATAAACATATGAGGGAGACCCTTGTTGCATGTACACTGAACCTAACCTCAATACACAGATGGAGGGAGACCCTTGTTGCATGTACACTGAACCAACCTCAATACACACACAGATGGAGGGAGACCCTTGTT